ATCCTGTGCAGAATAAGTGGTTTTAAGATACATGGGTACTATACTATACTGTGTTCCGGTGCAGAATCCTCCTGTAGAATGAATTGTCCTTTAGGAGGATTAATAACCAGCTTGGTAACACTGAGATAAATGTCTTCTCAGAAACATCTAACATATAATCAAAATGGTCAGCAGGAGAGCAGATCTTACATTATGTAAACCTGTGATCTACATAACTTCTAACTCTATTACAAACATTTATATATACAATTAGAAATATTATGTATTTTAACATACATAACATAATAATAGGTAACAGCTGTCCAACCTTGTATCCAGGGATGACTTCCTGTACGGGTCGAAGTTTGTGATTTTCATGTCGATTTGAATCTCGGCAAACAAGACACACAGGTGTCTGATCATCCAAACAGAAGAGCTTGAGTTTTTCATTGTGCAGAATGCAGAGAGCTTCATGTGCTGCTGCAGATCTCCGAGCTCTGCCTTGTAAGAAAGCCTCACATGCGTTTTTCAGGGCCAGATTAGAGAGTGGAAAATCCATAGAACACCTTCTCCGGCAAACAGGACATTCCTGAGAGCCCTCCTTTCCACAGTACTGCTGTAGACAAACTTTACAGAAGCTGTGGCTGCACTTCAGGACCACAGGATCCCTGTAGATTTCGTAGCACACAGGACAGGTGAGCTCCTCTTCCAGCACAGAGGACCTGGCCGCCATTTCTTCAGTCTGATTGTCAGCACAATAATCACCTCTGATCACTGAAATATTTGGTTTCACTTTTGTTTATTTTACTGAATATATAAATGTTCAAAAGTTGGTAATGTTACACTTCAGCAAGATTGACTAAGTCTAATTAGAATTGAATAAGTAATAATCTTCAGTTATGAATCCAAAATATTACAAACATATTTTGAAATAATACTTTGTGTGTGCTCTCTTATTTCCAGTTAAACATGTTTTTTTTTTTTGGCAGATGACAAGGTATCACATAAAGCTTCCTTAAAGAGGCAGTACTGTATTGTACTGCCTGTGCTCCAGTTCAGAATCATCCCCCTGTAGAATGTACTGTACTGTACTATACTGCCTGTGTTCTGGTTCAGAATCATCCCCCTGTAGAATGTACTGTACTATACTGCCTGTGTTCTGGTTCAGAATCATCCTCCTGTAGAATGTACTGTACTGTACTATACTGCCTGTGTTCTGGTTCAGAATCATCCCCCTGTAGAATGTACTGTACTGTACTATACTGCCTGCATTCTGGGTCAGAACCATCCCCTTGTAGAATGTACTGTACTGTACTATACTGCCTGTGTTCAGGTTCAGAACCATCCTCCTGTAGAATGAATCACCCTTTAGGAGGATTCATAACCAGTTTGATTTCTGAAAATAAATATAATTTTTTATAATCTTTATTTAACCCACACTATTTTACATAGATCAGACAATAAAATGTAGCTTTGGAGAAGATTAATCCTTTGTAAACCATGATTTTATAAACCATGTTTCCTTAATGTATTTTACTGCAGTGGGTTTGTAGCTCTCACTGTGGAGAAATGCAGGTCCTAGCAAATCAGCACCTTTTCTGACACACTGTCAGGACACTGGGAGGTGTAGAGGGTAAATGGCTGGATTCCATAGGCTACAAATGAAGCTGAAGCAGGTATGAGAAATATTTAATTGTCTGTAAGCAAAGTGTGGTAGCATCTGGGAATCGGGCAGAGTGAGCTGCGGTCTGGTCTGACCTGCTCACCAGGCCGCCCTCCGTGAGCTCACTAGGAAAAACTGCACACGTGTCTGGAATTATTCTAAAAATGAAAACATCTCATGACAAAGTCTCACACTGACTTTGGTATCCTGTTCAGACACCACCTTCTTCTTATAGAATGTAAAGCAGGAACAAGAAGCAACCAGAACCTTTTGCTTGGGATTTTGTCACAGCAACATGAAAAATATACATTTCGTTGTTCACCTATGTGGATTTTTAAATTCCATATACATCACATTAAAACTGATCAGTTATGATGTGGGGGTTCATTAATTATCAGAATTCATTAATTATCTGTTTTTCATTATAATTAAGGCAGAGGTTAGAGAATTCTCCTTGGGCCTGGATCACAGATGTGTGTGAGGCGTCATTGTGACCTTTTCTGCTGCTTTTCTCAGTTTATGGTTCCACATGGTTGGATTAGGATTCTGACTAAATGGAGTCTCTTGATCTGAGATACTGGCCTTAGAGTCTCTTTGCAGCAGTGAAGAAGACCGCTTGCACACAGTGGGATTAGGCGCTCCCTGGTGGACACTCGGGGATCATGCAGACTCTCCTTTTTTCTGAGTGGTTAAAGCCTGATGTGTGATGATGTGATTGGCTGAGAGTTTCTTATTACGCTCTGAAATAAAAATACCAATAATAATAATGACACATTATTGATGATAATGTATACTTAAAGCATACATGTGGGGAATTTTGAGGTCGTTGAGAAGGAAGAATCTGGAATAAAACTGGTGTGACTTCATTTTGTCTTCGGGGCCTCTCAACAAACTCTAGACTGACAGCAGGTTTTCATGTTGGTACATCAGCCATAATTCTAAATAAAAGGGAAAACGAGTAGCTTCTGCTGAAAGAAAAAGCACATTTTAATTTGTTCGTTAATGTTAGGTTGGAGGTGTGGCACCAATGACCGGCACTGAGGACAGTTTATAGGACCGAGTAGGGGTGCAGTGAACATTATCACATCTGCTGAAATGACCAGACTATGACCAGCAAAGTCCTTCAGAAGCAAATAAACAAAGCATTTAGTGTTACTTAAACCACAGCAGTAGAAATCATTTGGGAGTCTATGAAGGATAAACAGGTCTTAGCTTCTTTTTTACTAAAAAAGTCCCAAATTTGGAATATTACTCTCTATAGTACATTTTCAGTTGAAAAATAAAAGGCGAAAAACCTAATCAGAAGCAGAGTGATCTTGTTATAACAGGAAACCAAGGTTAACAGCGGGGCAGCCTTAGAACAGAGCGCGTCTGTGTGCAAAACACTACCAGTTCATTGCGTCTCCAGACGCGTGTGGCTCCGTGCGCCTCTCAGCCTGACAAAGTCTCTCCTGCCCATCCTTCACAGCTCCGACTTGGCGCTCAGCGAGCTTTCGCGCGTTCCCTTCAGCTCCCCCGTGGTGGCGCTGGAGGCTCCCAGCGTCTCCCTGCAGAGGAGCCTTCGCAGGCTGCCCCGGAACTTCTCCGCTCCGAAGAGGTAGACCAGCGGGTCCAGGGCGCCGTTGAGGCAGGCAAGGGAGGAGGTGAGGCGGTTCCCCAGCATCAGGCCCCTCCTGGCCCCGCAGGAGACGGCTGGCTGGGCGAAGCCCAGGATGAAGATGGCACGGCTGGCATGGTAGGGCAGGAAGCAGACCACGTAGATGAGCAGCACCAGGCCGATAGTCCGGAGGGCCTTAAGTTTGAGCGCCGGCTCCAGACGTGAGCCCCGGCGAAGGCTATGGATGATGAGCAGGTAGCAGGAGAGGGTGGCCAGGAAGGGCGGGGTGAATGCGACGGCCAGGGAGACGAGCGCCCGGCGAGAGGCCTTCTCACGGTATAGCTGCAGGCACACCGTGGCCCCGGCCACCTCCGAGGTCTGCCGTGTGGCCAAGAGGGGCCCCATGGACACGGCGACCAGCGCCCACAGGGTGAAGCTCACAAAGTGCGCATACTTGGCTCGGCGTACCTTCAGCGACCTTACGGCATGCACGACTGCCAGGTACCGGTCCCCGGCCACGCAGGCCAGGAAGTAGAGGCTGGCATACATGTTGACGTAGAAGAGGAAGCCGGCCAGCCTGCAGGGCAGCTCTCCGAAGGGCCAGTGGCCCCCGGTGAGGTGATAGGTGGCTCGTAGGGGTATGATGACCACGTAAGAAAGGTCAGCCACAGCCAAGTGCAACAGGAAGACATTGGCTGGAGTAGAAGTTCCACGCTGGCGGGAGAAGACCCACAGAGCCAGGCAGTTCCCATTCAGGGCCAAGAAGAAGACCAGAATGTAATAGCAGCCAAAGATCAGGTTCTCGGTGGTGCTTTCCCCTCCACAGCTCTCCATGGATTGGTTGGAAAACATAGCTGTGACCTCAGGTGTGGTGGAGTCCATTTCTAACTGACGGGGGGAGACAAATCAATACAAATGAAACACCAAAAAACTGAACATCCCCTAATCCTCCTTAATCATTTGCCAACAAAAAAAATATACCTTGCTAAATACTAGACTAATTCACTATGATCTGTGAATATTTCAGTCAGACAGAAAGTGATGGCCAAAAGTGCACTTCATGAAATATTTTTTGACTCCACTAGATGGTTCTGTCTGTTCAAAAAAGGGCACATATATGCGCATTCCAGGGGGCAGCATGTGGCTCTGCAGCCAGAAGGTCACCGGTTTGAGTCTGGCTTTGGCAGCATAGTTATGTCTGTGGCCCCCTGTCTGAGGCCCTTAACCCCCCACTTGAGAAAGCAATTTAAATTTTCTGCATATCCTGCATTCACAAGCAAAAATGCAAAGATCGGAGGGTTAAAAATGGTGATCTTAAAAACACATCCCTCAGTGAGGAAACCTCAAACGGGGGTGGGGGGTTCGATCCCCTGGTCTCGTAACAAAAAGCCTTTCATGCTTGGGAAAAGCTCAGCTTGAAGTAACGCGTAACCTTCTGGGGACTAATCCGTTAATATCGGCGTCCTCTGGCTAAAACAGAGGACGCCTGGTTGTTGAAGATCTTCTGCAGCCCTTGACAGTCATGGACAGCATTAAAGCTGTTTGTTTTAGTAAGAGAGTCAGTATGGAAACAAGGGAAACGTGGAGGTGCCCTGGCCTCATGTACAATAGTGTTTCCCAACCTGGTCTTTAGGGAGCCCCAAACAGTCCACTTTTTTCAATAGGGAGCTGGGAGGGAGCAAAAACGTGGACTGTCTGGCAGGGAGCAAAAACATGGACTGTCTGGCAGGGAGCTGGGAAGGAGCAAAAACATGGAGTGTCTGGGGGTCCCAGACCGGGTTGGGAAACACTGATGCAGGAAATACTGCAACAATCAGAAAAGAAGGGAAATGCTTCTTAATAGCAGTGCCACCCCAAGCCAGAAATTCCCAAATTTAACTGAAAGGTGGCTGTGTTCCCTGGCACTCTCAGCAAATCCCTGGGGCTCTCAAGTCAGGAATAATCCGAAGGCACAAAGTAGGAGAGGATTCTTTACATCAGACTTTTTTTGGTCCAATTAGCCGTATCCTCTAAATCCCTCCACAACCATGACTTCACACTGCAGCAGTGTGTGCCCAGCTATAGGGTATGCCCCATTCATTTATGTGATGCATCAGAGCTGCAACGCTGCACTAGAAAACCAGACTTCAGAAAGTCTGTGTAACAAACTACCTTAAGATTAAGATTGTGATTGTGACTTCATTAATCACAGGGGGAAATTCTGATGCACACAGTAGCAAGAACATAGTGCACAGACAAATACATATATATCTACATACACACACACACACACATATTTACAGAATATATACAGAATATTGTGAAACTACAATAAAAAAAATAGTTAAGAATAATAAATTCTGTGCACTTGCTTCATTTACGTGAAGTATTATAAATGATTAGAATCAGAATTGTTTATTTATTGCTAAGCACTTTTACACACAAGGATACAAGGAATTTACTTTGGGGTGATATATATATATATATATATATATCAAGACAATATTAAATTACGCACATAAATGAAATAATGTGCACAGTGCACATTATACACCCTCTCCTGCTACAATAATTATAATTGTTTTCTAGACATATTTTGAGACATGGTGCATATCTTAACGTAATGGTACAGTCTTAGTATCTGAACCAAAGTTAGACTTACCGGTTCCGATGTCTCCCTGGGGGGCTTTTTCCAAAGGCTGCTGACCTAGGGGACTTTCAGCTGGTCCCACACCGGTGGGGGGAGGCAGGTCTCTGGGCTTATGAACTTCAGAGAGGCGACTGGTAGGTCGGCAGCGTTCGGGTGGTGTGTAGGAGCGGAGCACAGACGGGACGAAGACCATCAATCCCCACCCCCATGTGGCGTCAGCCGAGGGAAGCCGACGCACTCTGGCGGGCCGCTCACAGGCGATGCGGGTTTTGGTGACAAAAGCTGCGCGGGGAGCCATGGGGTTGAACCCTGACCCCACCCTATTTTTTTTGCTAGCCCATCTGAGGACCACTTGTGCACTTGACAATGACCTGAGTCAAGGGGGTGGAGAGGAGTATGTTATATTTGGGTGAAAGGGATGGTGACCCCGCCCACCACCAGAAGAATGCCAGCCGCACTGTCATGGAAACCAGGCCCGACCAGCGCGGTTCCCGCGATGACGCCCCAATCCCCACCCCCTTGTCAATGGATAGAGGGCCGATTGTGTGGCTGATTGTGCAGAAAGACCATCCCTCATAGGCTGTCTGGACTCAAAAAGAGCCCCTGTGCTAGCAGGGGGGTGGGCAGGGGGGAGGGGCCGACAGAGACAGGCCTGCTTGTTGGGCGTAGGGATGTTCCACAATGGGGCCCACAATAAGCAGCAGATCTTTGGCCAGACAGATGTGCTAAACACAACAGGAGAGATAATATTTCTTTCAAAGGCGGAGAACACAGCTGTACATCTGACACATCGCAGTCTTATCCGGCCTCAGCACATCTACATGTCAATGCTCTCCGGGGTCCTGAATGAGCAGACTGTATTCTGGAATATTCTCTGCCAGTCACCCCCACTCCAAAAAAAAAACTGGATCCATGGTTCAAATCCCTATTCACTTCAATTTGAGTAGTTCTATCTCTTTCCCTAATCACTGAAGTTTACCTAAAAAACATTATTCCCTTTCATAATAATTTGTGAGAAAAACAGCGGAATCATCCTGATCACGACATACAAAGCAGGTACATCATGGTATTATGGTACATTATGGTATTATGAAAATGATTTCATGCAAGAATTATGTGCTTGAGTTTATCAAAATCGGACATTAGATTGTGTCTTCATATGGTGAAGCTGTGGTGAATTCCAATTTTTGACACATTACAATTAAATAAATGTTTTTAATTTGAAGAAAATTGGGATCAGCATAAGAGCAAAAACAAAAGGACCAATATGAGTTTCAAAACTGAGCTAAAACACTCACAAAAAGGTTACTGGAGTTACAATGAAAAAAAGACATACCGATCCAACCAATCAGAACAAACTAAAACCTTTCAGATTTACATCTATCACAAAAAGCACCTCTGGTAGGTTACCCATTACCAATTAACCACCTTCCATCTCTGCTATATGTCGAGCAAGACAGTGCTCTGGACTGTAAATATTCCACTTATTTTATTAAATAAAAACACACAGATAAAATTAAGCCAACAGACACCTAACTCGCAGAACCTTTGTGAATTTATACTTCAATAACTGGACATGAGTTTGTGTGGATTATAAAAACGACATACAACAGGAATGTACAGCACACACAAAGCATCATGCTTCATTCCCTCAGGTCAATAGCCAGATAAACAATGGCGATAATGACAATTACCCAGTGCTCAGTAAGACGTTTTTGTGAACACCTGCCCTGGAGATTAGACAGTGTTTTCGGCTGGAAAAAAAAAAGTTTGCTTAATTGTGCATAACAACTGCTGTGAATACGGACTCTGTGCTCTGGGCTGAGGCTCCGTGCCGAACTTCCCGTTGTGTGTAATGTGCAACATGTTAATTATGACTTTAGATGATATAGGTGTTTTCTTCATACACATTTGGTTGACTTGCAGTGAACAACATCCAATGTTTAGCTTCACAAAGAGCCGCTGACAAGATCATCGGAGATATGGGCAGTTCCGTCAGAAGATACAGAATGAACTGGTTTGTGCGCCACTTGGCCGACATGATGGAGTTCAATATTGTGAATGGGTGTGAGTTTCCGCCTCAGAATCTGTAAACATGACGCAGGTCGAAGGCCATGATAGAGGGTCATGGGTTCGAGGCTTCCGTGCTCTGGCAGAACTCAGGCAGGGAAGAGCTGATTTCTGGGACGCACTGATGTCCTCTCATTGAGGTACATATCCAGATAGGACTTCAAAAGATCGTCTATTTTGTAGCCCTTCACGACAAAGACAAACATGTGTGTCAGGTTATGACCTTTAAGGAGAAAGTACATGGAGCGCTGATGTCCATTACACACCAAACCAGGGTATTTCCAACTGCAGGAAGCTATACAGATGGGGAAGGTTCTCACTGGTTAAGGTGTTTGACCGTAAGTAACAAGCTTTAGATCCAAGCCGGACCCTGTTTTGTCATATTAACTAAAGTGTGCATTACTACTGTATACTGATAAGATCAAAATACAGTATAGCACTTCAGCTGTGATACATAAGCAATAGAAGGTTTGCAAAACTGATAATCACTGAAATGCGTGCGAACGGAGTGACCAATCTCTCACCAGGGAGGTCTCACAAAGGATTGTGCTGCTGTTCACCATGTTCCCAATGGTCATATGGAAATACGTGCTACCGCTGGACCAGTTCGTAATGCGGTTAAAGGGGTGTGTAGCCAGTATGTCCTGGAGTTTGCCAGCAGAGAGGAGGAGAGGAAGGGAATGATCCAGAACAGGGAGCGAGTAAGCAAAAACACAATTCCAGAGGGGGAAAGTTCAGGTCCAGAAAGCAGAAATCCAGATCAAGGTTTTGTTTCAACCAACCAGTTGAGCATAAAGAGTCACAGAGTACTAGTTGGTTGAAAGAAAACTTTGGTCTGGATTCCACACGTTCTGAACCTTAATGACTAACCTGGGAAGAAACTAGGTATTAATAAATAACAATAAGTTTATTATTTTTTAATACACCATAAGAAATCAACATAATAGAGGAACTACAAATGTAAAATGAGTGAGAGCAGTTACCTTAGTTTTGGGGTCAATGAAATTCACTCCTTGTTTGCTGATTGCAATCATTATGATACTTGGTAATGCAGCTTCAGATGTTTGCTGTAGAAACAACAAGTGTTTGACAGTTATTGGTAATATTACAATTTATGCTCTAGTATTTCAATGGAAAATTCACTGTCATTGTTGTCCCATTGACAAACAGCTCTCACCTTAACTTCGAAGAAAGCACAACCAAATGTTTGCCATCGTGAGATGGCCTTCAGGAATGCCACCTTTGCGTCATCCACAGTCAACCCAGCATGCTTGTTGTATGAAGAAATAATGTTCTGAAAACAGGGAGAAGATGTATATTTAAGTTGCAGTTTTGTTCAAAGGCTGTTACATGTTTATACAGCTGGACAACATCATGACCTTTCTGGGAGAAGTCAACAGCCAACAGCTACACTCACTGGCTTGTATTTTAGTGATGCTCATGTTTTTCTCCTATTGAAATGCCCGATTTCAGAGCTTCTCCCTTCCATGGAGCGCCTACCTTCTTCCACTCCTCAGGAGACATGGTCCTCATCTGGTCTGCAGGCACAAGTTCCTTCAGCATCTTGGGAATCATGACGAACTGTGACCTGTCCATGTCGACATTCACTCTGAAGAGCAGGCCCGCCAGGTTGAACATGTCCTCCTTGGTGCACTTGTGGTATCCACGCAGGTATTTGGGCAGCTCCTGGAAGTAAGAAGAGACAAGGACCAGAGTCCAAACATAAACAAGCTCTCAAGCAACATTACAGGATAAACACTATAGACAGTTTAGAACATTCATAGGAATTTTTAAAAATTCAAAATTATCACAGTCACTTGTGTTTTGTTCGATTAAGCGTTTGATCAAAGACCAAAGTTTTTGGACATTTACATGCCAGGACATTTAATGAAACTCTTCAAGCAACTCCAAGTTGCAAAAAGCCCATGAAGTCATCTTCCTGGCAACTCAAACTGTTCATTAACCTGCTGTCTTAATTACTAGCCACTATGTACATAGCAAACCTTGACTGCATCCACAGGCAAAGCCATGGGTGACTTATCACTGCTAAGGGGAGTCAAACATTTATAACATCATTTCATTTCCTCACATATTCCTGCCATGAACCTCGTCCGAAGGCCTCACCGTACCTGTGGATAGTGGAAGGTGAGGTCGGCCCTCAAATCCCTGCCAGGGATCACGTTAAACCACAGCTTCCTCATGAAGATGATGATATACGGCAGACTCGCTGCCATTCCTGCAAATCGAGGTCAAGCCCCACTTATGGGAGAACTGAGGCACCAAACATTGCAATGTAAGTCTCTAAGAGCGTATCCACATTTATTTGGTTCCAGCTGCTAACTTGGTTGGCTCCCATTGGAAGCCATGCAGTGATCTGTGGTGCAGACCTTCCACCTATCCTTTCAACCCTTATTCCCAAACACTTTCCCTGAAGCAGATACATAAACCAGTATACAAAACAGTACTGTGATGAAAGCATCTCTTAGTGGAGCTTCCTTACCATCTTTGGCTCTTCTGGGCTTCTTTGGGTTGTCTGCTACCTGCCTTATGCTATCGAAGAAGTAGTCTGCATCATTCAGACTCAACACCTGAAAGGAGTGTGATGTCAAAAGCAGGATTACAATATTGCCGGCTGACTCAAATTACTGCTCCCAGTAACAGTGGGAAAATGGACACTCATTTTGAGAAAACAGTCACTGGTTTCACTTATCCAGTACAAGGTCACAGGAAAATTTTGTCACGACATCCAAAGAAAATGACTTTAAATCAGTTAGCTGATATAGACAGAAAGCCTGCACTGGTGACCAACCTTGTCTGTGGTCTTCACAAAGAGGCTGAAGCCATCAGGTGAAACTAGCAAGAGGTTATTAGCGATGTCCTTACACAGGTCATGAATCCGGGTGGTGGTCGTCACCTCAAAGATCTGGTGGAGGCGCGATCACTAAATGTCAGTGAAGATAAAACAGATGGGAAACAACTGTCTTGCGAAGCCCACAAGACGCGCCCTACCTCCTCTGTATCATTGGGAAAGTGGACCTTGTGGAAGAGCTGGGTGCTGTTCTGCTGGATGGCATCGACCTCCACTTGGTGAGGGGGCCGTTTGCGAGGCTCCATCCTGAATTATTTTAAAACAACATGAGAACCAATGGACTGCAGGTAACTACTATTAGGTCCTGGAATGTCTGAGTATAATGGAACAAGTACTGAAGAATTGGCAAATACTCCATGGCTTTTCCACAGAGGACCTGAGAAAGCTACCCGGGCTTAACAGACTAAATGAATTTGCTTTGCACAAAAGCTTTAACAGATTATAGTGTATAATTGCAGAGAGATGTTTCTCCAGCTGAGAGCACAAGTGCGTCTGTATTGTTGTGCATATGGCAGGACAGCATGGGACCCCAAAATGGGATCTGCCCAACATAAGAGGAAGGAAGGCTTAATAAAATAAGATGTCATTAAAGAGCAAAGTGGCAGAGCGTCACTGCCTATGGCAGCGCACCGAGAGCCGGGGGCCCCTGACACCCGAATGTAAGTCATACATAAGAGCCCAGCCCCACCCCCCAAAAGAACTCCACAGCGCTCCTGTCCATGTTAGCTCACCTCAGCATCCCCTTTAGCCTCTTTACACACTCGGAGGCCAGCGGCTCGTGTTTCCGAGACTCCAGAAAGCGCTGTGTGTGTCTGAACAGGGTCTGGCTGGGTGAGAAGAGACCGCAGCACAGCCACAGGAGCTGCCAGCCGTTCTCCATGCTCTGCCTGGATGACACGGGACACACTGAGACATGCTAACACGCATGCTAACACGCTAGCGCGATGCTTGGGACCGGCCAGATGGGAATAAGACTGCGGATATTCATACTGCGGCCACAACTTCTTGTTCGTCTGTTATGGAGTCCTGTACAGGGGCGGGCCCACAGGGGCACTGGCCCCAGCTGAAAGCTGATTGGCTGCTGAGTGCCCCCTCCCTTGTCACTCAAAACACATCATTGGTTAATGATAAAGTTGGTTCCTCTGTATGAATTATGGCCCCCTTATGCTCCCCTCCCCACCTTAAAACCATAGAATCACTCCTGTCCTTTTACCTTCTCAGAACATTAATCCTCAGCATCAATGGATGATGTCAAACAGTGTCAAAATGACATCCCTTTAAAACAGATATGGAATACAAACCGGTTATTGTTGATGGTCATCTGCTTCATGATCTGGCAGTAGATCTCATCCCGCAGAATCTCATACTGCATCGCAGGGCCAAAGATCTGGTCAGTCAGCTCTAGGGTGCTACGCACCTGCTTTATGGGGTAATCGCCCATATATTTCAGGATCGGTACAGGGGCAGTCAAGAAAAAAAATGAAATTTAAAATATGTATTTATATATATATATATATCAGTGTTTGCAATGAGGCCTAAGGTTCCTAACACATGAAGGTCTGTGTAGGTTAAGCTTGCTCTGCATGTCAAAAATACTTTTATGTATAATTTTTTTTTTTTTAATTAGATGGTGTTGAGATTATATATTTTAAAGAATCAAGCACTAATGCTTCGGTCGTTATCCATTCTCGGAAGCAAGCAGCACAAAGGATATCAATGAAGGAAAGGCAGGCTTGTTGGCTGAGCTCCGAGTTGCCCACCAGCTTCTGCAGCAGAGGCTGTCTGAGTGGTTCCCGTGAAGAAGCCCACAGCTTCTCCTTGGCCACCCCTTTACCCATGGCCTTGCCTGGCTGCCTGAAGAACCCCAACAAGAAAAACAGGAAGGCATGTTCCAAACAGGTGCTTCCACAGAGGTCAGGTTCCCAAGACAATTCATTAAAAGTTGATTCATGCTTAGAGTACAAATATTTTCCAGTATGTCAGTAATCATCGTGAGAAAACATTTCAGAGACTCTAAGAAAGGGGGGTCTTTTGGGGTGAGTTTGGAAAGAGCTTCGATGAACATTGTTCAGACTTCAGATGTTTTACTAGGTTATGCTGCCATTGAAAACTAAAGGAAAAACAAATATATGAATTGCTGAGGACTGGAATGATGTGATGCCAATGATTTGCCGCTTGAATCTTCCACATCCACAGGATGCAAGTGGTCACAGAGTCATTGGCTGAGCATGAACTCTATGAATACAATATACCACATCCACCCAACTCTCTGAACTCAGCTTGAGCTGAATATAATGAAACACTTATGGGAGATTTCAGGATGCCTTAGATAGGATTTCCAACCACCATTGTCAAGACACCAAACTCTTCTCCAAGAAAAGAAGTGTTACATCACTTCAGTAGAAATGCAAAAATCTGATGCCAATCTGGCAGGCTGTTCTGGCCCTGTGTCCAACTAAGTGACATCAGGCACCATTATGCATTAACAGCAAAAGAGTAGACTTTGATTGTCCTACCTAAAGTACTCAAAGGAGAATTCCTTAAGTGAGATTGGTGCCACTCTTTCCGTGTTGCCTTCTGTTGCCTGATTGACCTGGCTAATGGATTTCCTTTGCTCCGGGGACAAGTTCAGCAAGTTCTGGAATCATAGCCAAACATGATCTGTGACAATGTCCTTATACCAATGTTACATACAGTGATGAACAAAAACATTATGACCACAACCGTGTGAAGCGGATAATGTTCACTATCTTGTAAAAACAGTACGTGTCAAGATTTAGGATACATTACACGGTGAGCTAACATTCGGTACTCGCAGCCAAAGAGAAATGGGCAGGGATAAAGATGGGCTCGTTCCTGTATCCTCAACCAGTTTGTGGACAGATCAACAGCATATAACACTTCTCATACCAGCAGCTCATTGGTCGGTTTGTTGAGGGCTGCTAAGACCAACACAGAATCCATGGAGACAGCACCAGTTAGGCTAGTTCGCTCATTTTTGCCTTTCATCCAGCCATGGTTAGGTGAATACTCTTCATCCTTGATAATAAAAAGAAGATCTCCCTTCCGAAAGCTGAGAAATGTAGGATCATCTGGGCAAAGAGATATTCTTTTCAGAAAGCTAACACAATGTAGCTTACGGAATCCCCTAAACTCTCTGACCTGTGAGGAGCATGTTCATAAGAATGTCCCGCCCTCTTACCTTGCCTGTTGGAGTCCTGTAATGCAAGGGCGTACTGGGATCGCGCCTTTATTCCTTCCAGAAACATATCTACGAGCCTCCACAGCTGCTCTAACTCTCCTGGAGAGTTAGAGCTCAGGGAGAACTCTCCCTTCAGTGTAATCAGAGTAACAAGTTGCAGGGTGGCTTGACTGTCCCTGGCAAGAACAGAAAGCAGCACTTTACATATGGAGATTACACTTTGTATGGTGGTGGAATGTGGCTCAGCAAGTCAGGACACTGAGCTAGTGATCAGAAGGTTGCTGGTTTGGATAACAGAGTTGGCTGAGTGAGTTACCGGAGGGGTCCTGAGCAGGACCATTGAGCCATGCCCTTAACCCCCCAGGGGCTCCAGACCCTTAGTGACCCTCCTTTCTTGGTTGTATGTCGCATTGGATAAAAGCATCTGTGAAATGTATGCATGGTAGAATCTCCCTCATTATATAGTAGATCTCTCATATACCTTATTGTGCTGACTCCAGTGACTTCTGGGTAAAAGAATTCCAGGAGTGTTTCCTTTTCATTCATGAAAGTGATCCCAGAACAATTAACAGCAGCAACAAACTCATTTTGAGGCAAATCAGGACCTAGGAACACAATACTTGTTAGAATCACTGACATAAAAAGTAGTAAACCACAGAGCGTACAGTGAATGCTTTCAAGATGACCACCACGCTCAAGAAGCAAACTGCAATGCTTTCAACGATGGAAGGTTTATTTTTTTTTACCTGAGATCTTTGTCACATTAAAAAACTTGGAGAAAAACTTTGACCACTTCTGGCGAGCATAATCAATCACTTCGGCTTTCACTAAGTCCACGTTCTTCTTTGATTTTATATAAGAACCCTGAAGGTCATAAACAGACATAAAATACACATTTCAAAGAAAACACTTTGGCAAAAACAAAAAGATGGCAAAGATGTGTAGCAGAAGTTGATAGGTCCTGAAAAGTCCTTTTGAGTTATTTTTCGATGCCATTCCAATCTCATATTACCTGAAGATGTGCCATCTTAACCAGCTGCACGCACTTCGCTTCTGACTTAGCCTCAATCAGGAAGCTGCCAATGCATTCCTCCACCACTCTCTTTGCATTATCGTCACTGCAATCGCTTTCAAATTTCACATAGAAGTGTTTGGCCGCGAGCTGGACAAAATCATCCTCCTAGAGGAAATAAGATGAATATGGGAAGCCATATTGTTTGAAAAATTCTAATAATTCGGCAAAGGCAGGACATTGTGTGTACGTCACGAAATCTCAGTCTGCACAGAAGTGATGCGCAGCCGTGATTGTAGCTGCCAGAGGACTACAGGAAAAGACTCGGTATTACATGGTGGCTTGGGAAAATGACGTTTTGAAACCGACTTTCCGACAGAGACAGAACACAGAGCCCAAGATTTATGTGGATTTCAGGCTCACGCACCTTGTCAGACTGGTACTCTCCCAGCTTCAGCCCTCGGATGATCTGTTTATATATGAGGTCAGTGCTGACAGGGTCTTGCCCACAGTCGAGCCAGGGAGTGAAGAGCTCCTTCAGGAAGTAGAGGCGCCATGGAGAGTTCAGCTCCTGTTCGCCTTTCTTCCTGGAATCCTGCTCGCATAGCGAGATGGCGTCCAGGACGTGCTGTTTGCCGCATCCCAGTGACCACCTCTGAAAATTCCCAAACACCGTTGTAAAATGACATCCATGATTATTATTTTTTTTTTAGACTTACAGATTTGCACTTCTCTGCTCCATAAAGAGTAAAGCAAGTTACCCATCAACTAGCTGACTCCCTCAAGCAGCCAATAACACCAATTAGTTTGTCTCCTGGTCACATGCAGTAAAAGGTACGTTCCAGATTCAAACACTTATGAGGCCCTGGGATTCATTCCAGCAGCTTCTCCAGCTAAACCACTCTGGAGTTCCTAGTGTCACTGGCTTTTTGGACAGATTCTTATACCTTTTCATGCAGGCTAACATAAAGCGAGAATCCAAAGGTGTCCTTGAGTTTGACTTTCTGTGCAATACGTTCACAGACTTCTGCAGAATTGGTGGCTGAGTCTATGGTTAACTTGATGTTTTGTCCATCCATTAAGATCACAGACACAGTCATTGGCTTCTGGGTTTCTGCGGCCTATAATCAGAGCAGGAAAATCCCGTCAAGTGAGACTGTACTCTGACCAAGACCTTAATGATCAGACATGTATTACAGAATAATGGTCCCGCTCCTTAATATGCTACCATCCCTGATTGGATGTGCGCAGTCACATGACCAGGTGTCATGACATGACATTTTGCAGTGGCCCTTTTTACCTGTAATTCAATGCAGGAAGGAGGTTCACTGCGTGATCCATTGGCTATAGTCCTTTGCAATTTCTCAGAACAGTACTGGGCAAAGTTGGCGGGGCCAGATCTGATGAAGTTTTGGAGATACTATGGGATGATGAAAGAAAACAGAAGCAATAACTTTTATACCGGAACATTCTCCCGACAGAAGCATGAAGGGCAAAGTGGGACAACTAACCTTATCGAAAAGCTCAGTTGGGGCGAAGATTCCCAAACAGATGGACAGAAGAATCCAGCCCCTCCGTCTGCTTTTCTCGTCCTTATTCCCAACCAATTGTTTACAAATCTGGCAGTAGATCTCATCCCTGGAACATTCATGCAGAGAAATTGTAGATAAAAAGGTCAGACTATTTTTATCAATTTTATCATTCCCCTTTCTCATTGCTAAGAAAGTGATATCTTGCTACCTGATGTCTTGCCTGACCATAGCATATTCCACAATGATGTGAAGCTTTTCTAAGGATGTCATTGGCCGATGCAGTGAGGGTCCTTCCCCAACCAGTATGTCATCTTCCTCCTTGACAGTTTCCGCTGTTGACTGCAATGGTAAGATACAGGAGAGCTTCACACACCTCCCCCTAGCTGAAAGGCACTGGCTTCGAGCACCGTGGGGCTGATGCCATCGGGGCCTGATGCCATGCCCATGCACAGCCGCCCTAACCTGATGACAAGGCTGTCTGAAAGTCTACTAGGCAGCTATGCTCTGGTTACATCGGCCAACTCAGAATTCATATAACTAGAGTAACCACTCTGACAGCAGTTCTGAATAACTTATTTGGAAGAGAAGAAATCAGGTATGGAGCCCATCACAGATTGTGATCCCTAAACCTACCTCCTCTGGAATCGTTGACGGCCTGCGGTTTCGTGTCCCTATTTTCTTTTTTCCTCTCAGTAGTTTCTATGAAAAAGAAGTTCGTACAAAGATGAAGGTGATACTTAAGGAAAAGGTTTCCTTGTTGCCTTCAGAGACTGATAACTAAGACAGTTTACAACTTAGTCAGATGAAAGTGGGTCCAGAGCCTATGGGCACAAGGCAGGGAACAACCCATAATGGAACACCATCACTCACACGCCATTCACACACACACCATTCACTCACATCTATGCACAATTTGGCAACTCCAATTAACCTCAGCATGTTTTTGGACTGTGGGAACCCCACAACAACACGGGGAGAACATGCCAATTCCACACACATGGAACCAAGGCAGAGACTCAAACCTCAGTCCCAGAGGCATGAGCAATAGTGCTAACCTCCGCCCTGTGGCGAGCGGAGAAAGGACAGGAGGCAGTTTCTTAGCCTGTGAAGGACGTGAACTGTTTATTATTCTAAAAAAAAAGGCAAAAAGCAATATCCGGTGGCCGCTAAGACACACGCAGCCTGCCCAAAACAAACATTCACAATAAAAGCACATCTGCCCTGAGAATTCTGACGGAAGTAAGAACCAGCTACAGCACCACCATGCTGCCCCTATATAAACCATACATGTGATAAATATGAAAAGAGGCACTGTGGCAGAAGACTGAAAATAAGACTATTCACTGAGAACTGAACGTACCTGATCAAGGCCGACTAAGTTGCTAAGGCGACGACCCTGCCTCTGGCCCAGGTTCTGAAGGATTGATTGATCTCCCGCAGAGGAGACACTCTCCTGGGCTCGCTTGGGCTCAGGGATATCGCCCATGAACCTCAAGATAATCCACCACACAGACAGGCAAGCCTGGACAGAACATCTCCACTCAGCATGAAACTGCCTACGTCGAGTCAATGGCAAAGATGCTAATAAATGCTAATGCTAATACGATTGCGTTAAATTGCTGCTGTTTAGTCCGTTTCACCATCTTGTATTTGTTACTCTGCTCTGGTGATTGATAGAAGTCAAGCACTGCTTCCTCAGAACCAAGGGGCATTAAAGCTACGCTAATATTAGCAGAAAGCAGAATGAAGATGGTACCAGAGTGTCTCTTTCATCCTCATGGAACAGCAATGTGCTGCGCAGCCTCTGCCCGATGTAGGTGTGTGTAGCTGAACCCTGGAAGTACAAAGATGCAAACTTGGCGAAAGAGTACTCATCATCGACGTCATCGCACTCCTCTTTTGGAGTTTCTTCCTCTATTGGAGTTTCTTCCACTTTTGGAGTTTCTTCCACTTTTGGGGGGTCATTGGGCTCCACTTCTTCTAGCTTGGTCTGATCGCCCTCCAGGTCCTAAAGACAGAGATGTTTCAGTGAGATGTTTTTATGTCGACAAACGAGTATTACGAGATACTGTAGGTTGAACACCCTGAAAATGGTAGCCAAAGTGATCTTTTGAAGGATCTGGCGGTCTAACCTCGAAGCCCTGTGGAGCTGGCCCCTCCTGCCCGCCCACTACAGTCGGCAGGAAGTCAAATATGCTGTCCACCATCTTCTCGTCATTGACAGTTTTAGACTTCTCCTCCTGCTGCTCTTCAAGCACCTTCTCTAACCGTCGTTGGAGCTGCTGGGCAGTTTGCTCTCGGGCTAGACGCTCCTCAGCTAGGCGTTCCTCAGCTAACTGTTCTTCAGTTAGATGTTCCTCGGCTAGACGTTCATCAACTAGATGTTCTTCAGCAAGATACTCCTCGGCTAGATGTTCCTCAACTGTGAGGCAGGCCTGCTACAGGGAGCCAGCAAGTTAACATCAGAGCCAATCAAAGTGGCATGGAGCACAGTTGTATCTCAGATGGAAAGGCATCTAGCTGAAAGATCCCGACAAGGCTGGGCTTCTGAAGAACAAGGCTGCATCGGGCAAACAAAAGTTTCTACAGGAACTCACATCATTCTTCATCTTTTTGACAGCCTTCCTAGCCAGCATCCCCCTAGTTTGGGCTTGCAGGATGAGCACAGCCTCCTTCTTCTGCTTCCATTGCCTCCGCCTGATGCATCCACGAGCCTGGCTCTGTAGCAAGATGGCGGCTTCCCGCTTCTCCTTGTAGCTCTGCTCAAGCTGCCGAGCACGGACCTTGGCTTGCAGACGGGCGATGCCCAGCTGGAGCTGAGAGAGGTAGTCAAGCCCTTCCTTAATAAATCAATCATTAATATCCAGTTTATACAAGCAGCACATGAAGATCCATAGCCTGTATTTAGTTGGGACAGTTTTTCCTCAAAGCATGTGCATCAAACTATATAAGGATTCTGGAGTTTCTGCATTAAACCTAAAAACAGAGGGTGAGAGCAGTGAGGCCAAAAGCCAACATCAGAGCCTGAGTCCAAACGCAGGAACAGCGGCACCGTTTCAGTCATCCTGTCATCCTGGGCTTGACCTTTGCAGCAATTATCACTAGTCTGGGTTCCACTGCTTAACTAAAAAAATAACCCATAATTAAATGCATCTTCCCTCTCTGGGCCAATGGGCACTGATGGTTAATGCCGTGAAATGTAAATTGAAATTCCCAGATTTATTTAATGCTAAAAAAAAATTGCCCTCATGCTAAAAATACACACGGAGGGGTCACCACATAAGGGCAAAAGCATGGCAGACCCTCCCAATCATAGGTTATATATGGGCTGAATCCCACAGCTCTGAGGTAACAGGATGTGTGCTAAACCACCACGCCCCCTACAGGTACTGTACAGCAGCACGCCTTTTCCCAGTGCGGTCGCCGTCCCTTTAAGAAACGCTCACCGCTCTGTTCTGCTTCCTCGCACGGCTTCCTCTCCAGTGTTTCTGCATGACCAGAGCGGCTCTCCTCTGGTCGATGAACTGCTTCCTGTGAGTGGCACGGCGGTATGTCATCATCAGCCGTGGTGCCAATCAACAGGCACATGCTGCCCGACTTCGAAAAAATACTCATATGACTGTGTTGCCACACTATGTTGGTCAGAGTGCATGCGAAACCAATATTAGTAGTACCACGTTACTGTAATTCCACTATTTTTGGCGGTAATGAGTAACTACACAGCAGCACTAAAATAATATACTAACCCAGACAGCACACGTATTGGCATAATGTCTACGATGTTTGAAAATCCATCAGCGAAGCATCTCTGTGTCGCAAAGACATCGCTACTGAATGGTGATTTGACATTCCCCTGATGTGTGTGTGATGTATTTCAACAGCAGCGCAATGTTAATGAGATCATTATGTACTCGCTGAAACACACAGACACACACTAGCGTATGTAATAATTTATATATTGTTAATAGGCCTAAATGGAACACGATCATTTAAAAATGTTCCAATATTAAACCAACCTTCTGGCGACGTAAGTGTCCTGTCTGGGTTTGCAGGCATTAATGAGGAAACTGAAGTAATGCAAGACCTACTTTCCCGAGAACCTAATCACTTTATATGCAGTAATTTAATTATATGTGAATGAAGTAAGTAGTAACTAATTAACAGTTTGAAGTAACTTGCACAACACTGCATAACTGTCACTGCATTGAACAGCAGTAAATACCGTGCTTTATATTCAGTGTTTTTATTTTGTAAATTATTTGTTATTACGGTGTTGAAAGTAACCATTTCTGCATACTTTCGAGACATTCACATTTTTGAGAAAGCAGCATGAAACAGTCCCTGGATGAAGGGGGTTAAGGATCTTGCTCAGCACCCCAACAGCGAAATCTCTTTGCCAAGGATTTAAACTGGCGACCTTCCACTCACAAGAATAGCATCCGTACCCACTGAGCCAAATCCTTGCAGAGAGCTTTTCTCACTCACCTATATTCTACCACGTATTAAGTGATGTCACAGATCAAAGTGTCAAAGTGATTTGATGAAGTGATTTGATTTGATTCTGGCCGCCATGTTGTGACGTCTACCTGCATTTGTAGACCTGCAGTGCTCGTACTATAAGGACGGCCTTCCTTCTCATCTCCCTGTCTCTCTCCGTCTCCAGGGTTATGTCATGGAAATCCTGGTGGGGTTAAATTTTAAGGAGAAATGACTCTTTTACCCCCAGAGAATCAAACTGAATTGCAGGAGCCTTTCGGACAGGACCGCCTTTAATGTTACGCATGTCTGACAGTGGTGTCGAAGCCCACACAACCTTCAGGAAGATCTTCGTCTTTCCAATTTTCCAGTCTCCATTTTTCATGATGTAGGCCTTGCAGATGCAGTCGCAGCACGTCTGCACAGGTTCCTGTTAGCACAGATGCAGGCAGGACGGTTCATTGTGTTGATTTACACACTCTATTATTATTTCTATGCTGCGTATTTACATTCTTTTTCGTTATATTTCCTGTTTGTATTTGCAGCATTTCCTCACTGCTGTTGTGGACTTGTGCACAACTTTTTTCACTGATCTGTACACTCAAGTTTCAAGTGGCGTGACAAATAACGTGATGCGATTTGAATAAGGAGCCAAAGCTGCCTTTTGGTCTTTGATCATTTGCTTTGCAGTCAGCCATGCGGTCATGGGTCACATGGTTGTGGGTCACATGGTCGGCCTCGGGATCCCTCTTACGGTTCTGGGGTCGCAGATGGAGCTCCGCAGTAGCACTCGGTACCGCTGCAGGAATTCCTGAAACGTGTGCCGAATGGGATAGCCCATTTTCCGGATCTTGATAGTCTCGATCATTCCAGAGTATCTCAGCTGACGTATGCAGAGATCTCTGTCGAAAATCTGAAAGGAGTGTAAGGACAAAGTTTACTGACAAAAAAGCGAACCTTTCATTATTTACTTAATATTTGAATAAGACACGGTTTGTTCCCGGTCTGAATGTTTTAATGGCATGAGAGGCCTAATTTCCATCTGACAGAGGCGTTGTTTAATATTTCTGACAAAGGGCCACACAGTTCCCTCCGAGGGCCCAGTAAATCCAAAGCGTGCCCACATGAGAGAGCGCAGTGATGCGGGGAGACGGCGATCAGCATGTGCAGGTGGCCGCATGACGAACTAACAGCTCAGACGAGGACATCTGGCGAAAGACTGAACTGCGCCCTCTAAAGGCAGCTATCTAAATGCAGACAGGGACGTTTTTTTAATCCATAAAGTGAATGTAGGTAACTCGGCTAAAATGACCCCAGCTTTCCAAGCAGGCTGTACTAATAACTAGATGACGGTCAACTTATCCGACAGTTTCTCATGAATCGGAGGAGAATCGGACAGTTCATATCAGATTCCAAGAAGCAGGACTGAGGTCCCATAAAGCAAGGAAGAAGCCCTTCATTAATTAAACAGAGAAGAACCAGGCTGCAGTTTGCAAAAAAAATAAATATATATATTATTCACAGACGCACACCCATAAATTGAGACATGAGTGAAACAAGAAATTGTCCTTTGGTCTCTTAATTTTTTCCCGCGGCTGCATGTTGATGGCATCCCAGGGACCGCTTTGTGATGTCACCACTGGGCCCTTCACCCAGAATGCTGCTTTGGATAAAATGTTTGCTAAATAAATAAAACGTAAACATGGCATAATTGTAAAAGAGGTCACTTGCAAAGGAGCGATGCTCACCTCGGGCTTCTTGTAGATGTTTGGTTTGAAACAGCGTATGAAGTGCGGCTGGCACGTGGCCAGGGTCTTCATCAGGGAGTCCAGCGACTGCCGGAACTGGCCGCTCAGCGTGGACACTTGTCTCTTGGTGTCCCCCGTCTCCTGTTGGCGCGCAGTTTGCAGCAGTGACGCCAGTTACAAAAGCAAAGAGGCCTCAGCTCATTTCCGCCACTGCACAGCAATATCCTGACTTCTGGAAGTCATTTTTTAACCTTACTCATGTGTGCACCGTGCAGTACTTACTGAAAATTCAGATTTTAAGCCAATATTTACCTTCATGCACAAGTATATTTAAAAATATACTGCCGTTTGAGTCCACTAGGGGCAGCGGTCATCACCATGACAAATTCTGAGGAACTGCAATTTTTACCACAGACACTGTATTCTAAAACCAGCCTACATAGTGTTTTTTTTCTCTGCTACAGACGGACGAGTCTTGCCATGGACACATTTGCCCCATGTAAACACAGGTTGACGAACCATAGTTATGAATCATTGTTCATAATATCGAAATAAAATGAAAGACTAGGAGGCAAAAGGAACAATGGCTGCTGATTACTATCTGTTAGCCAAGACGTGCGGATACTGTATGCTTGTTGTGTTGATTTATAAGCGTATATTTATGCTCTGCCAGCAGAGGGTATCCTTCCGGAAGCTGAGGAGCAGTGGACAGTTCACAGCAATTCACTAAGTGCTCGGAATGATGACAGCAGATACTCACCCGCAGTGTGTTTTTGGGTGTTATTACAATCTTGTTATTGGTCCTGGCAGCCGGCATGGAGGAGCTGAGCTCCGCGTGGAAGATCTGCCTCAGGAACTTGTTGGTTGACGTGTGCATCAGCTTGATGAGGTCCAAGCTCACGGAGTCTCGGTTCTTCTCCAGAAAGCCTGGACGTGGACCCAGAGAACTCGTGAAGGATGGCGGATAAATGCGAGGAAATGGGCCTTGAACTCTGCACATCTCCAGCCGACAGACTCGCCTCTCAGATAGATCATCGTATCTGGATCACTGAGTTCACTTGACACACAACAGCCTCAGCCTTGGAGGTCCATTATAGCAGGGAGGCCCCAAAGCGGAAAATCAGTCATGTCTCCCATTTTTCACACCTACCTTTGGCATTGTAGGTGACATCTCCGGCAAAATGCTGGATCCCGAAGTGCATGTCGTGGCTGCTCTTGGGAGGAACGAAGAGGCCGTTTTTGCCGTGTATCTGGACCATCTTGGTCAACATAGTGGCGTCGGTACCCTGAGCAAAAAACAAAGACCCTCAGGTGGGAGGTTTGGTATGATGAGGGAGCAGAGGCAGGAAATATTGAGCAGAAAATGTCTGTGATTAAAGCAACACACCGTTTCGGATTTGCTTTGTGACAAGGCAAAGCGAATGCAAGCAAAATGAGATCAAAAACCATCACTGGAAAATCGGTACAAAACGGTCGGTTGGAATTATTTGATGCCTGGGGGGAAATCCAGGGGAATTGGACCCCAGTCTACCAAGTGATAGACAGGGACACTAACCCCTACACTAACAAAAGTTATATACAACAATGCAATACATGACAAACAATAAGCATCACTTACATCCCTCCATTGTTAAACAAGTGGTATGAGCACTGATTGGTTTTGCTTTATTGGATGCAGTGAGGTGGGGGGGGGCAGGTCAGGTCACCTTGGGAAAGTGGCTCTCCTCGTCGACGAGGGCCAGCACATTGAGGGGGGCGCCCACCAGCAGGTCCAGCGTGCGCTGGTTGTCGTTGAAGGCCACATGCGTCCAGTAGATGTTCTCGCTGGCGTACTCCGCCTGCTCCAGCTTAAAGACGTGCTTCACAAAGAACTGCTGCAGCTGCTCGTTGGCAAAGTTGATGCACAGCTGCTCAAAACTGCGGCGCACAAAAAATAAATAGACACAGGCCAGCCCCGAAATGGAGCGCTTCAGTGCCGGGGACGCAGACACAGAATAAGAGGGTCCAATGAGCCAATCACCCAATGACTGCTCTGTTTAAGCAATAATTAAGCTGTTTGTCCTTTGAGATTAGACTTTTATGGAGTTTATTAGTAATGGCGGCTGAGAAATCAATCACGTTATTGTTACCATTTTTCTGATTATGCATTCTATCATCCTACCCATCCACTATCAGTATGATGTACAGAGGAACCACAGAACTTTCTAGTATTTTTGAAGCTTCACAATATATGCATTCCTTGGAACAAATAAGGAATAACTGAGAAGTGTTAACAGTCATGTTTTGGTTTTCAACCATCTCTGAAGTACTGGTAGGCTTTGACTTGAATAGCCAGGTAATCCACACGTGCGAAGACTAATTGTGAAGCATGTTCACCACACCCTGCTCCTGAACCAGAAAGGCTCAATGGCTTGGAATTTTGTCTAGTATTCTGTCTGCACCAAATACCAGTTAATAACAGCGCACCAACCTGTTGGCATCAAAATTTTCAAAGCCAAAGATGTCCAACAGCCCGATGGAGAAACGGACATGTGAGGCGTCAGGGGGGGGCTTGTAGATGGCAGTGTTGATTTTCTCCACAATCCACATGAACATTCTGCCATATATGGCCTGAATATGTGAACAAACACACACAGTCAGGCAGAGCTGTCAGGAAGCAGGTGCACATCCCAGTGGTGTTACCCTGATGTCTGCACCGTCGGACCATTCACTGCATTACACCCAGTGGTGTTACCCTGATGTCTGCACCGTCGGACCATTCACTGCATTACACCCAGTGGTGTTACCCTGATGTCTGCACCATTGGACCATTCCCTGCATTGCACCAGCCCACGCTGCTGGTTTAATAATCTTTCAGACTGGACATAGTAATGACTTCCCTCTAGTAATATGTTTTTGGTTCCGTTTTCCACATGGTTGACCACACCACCATCCAGTCTTTTCACCAGAAAGCCCGGCAAGCAGCTGACATGTGATGACCGCCTAACAAGCTCTGATTCGGTTTGACCACTGGACGGACCTTGGCAAAGGCGTCTCTGCCGTCTGTGGCCTGGTCCTGGCTAAGAGGCCTGGAGACGCGTTCCCTGTTGGTCATGAAGGACCGATATGTCAAGCTGGTCTCAAGGTTCTTGCTGTCCACCTGGGAAAATCATATAAGCTCGATTAGCCTAGAACACAGGCGGGGGAAGGCATTTTCAGATCAGGGGAAACAAACAAGAGGAGGCGCTGACGAGCCCAAGCACCCCTAATCCCAGAGCTACAGATCTAGAACCAAGATCCTATCCAGAATGGAACCGGAGAACAGCATGCAAAGGGTGTGGTGCAGTACAGATCCACTGCAGAAAATTATACCTCCAGTAGCTTAGACGTCATGGTGAAATGATGTGAAGCCTGAATATCGCAGCCCTCCATGTTATTTGAGACAGTACCTAAAAAAGAAAAAAAAACTGAATTTCACAGCTTACAATTTATTTGATTAGACTTGAGACTAAAGAAGGTATTTCAGAAGGTATTTTTTTCTTTTTTTTTTTTCAATTCTGTCCTCTGTGGCACCTTTCCTATTCCAGCTTTATTTACACCTTGGCGGGACATTTCTGAACTTTTGAGCTTTCCTCAGTCATCACCTTGGAAGCTGACATTGCCCAGGTGGAGCAGAGCGGCCAGCAGCTTGAAGATCTCCCAGGACTCCATCTCCTTGAACATCAGGATCTTCATGGCCGAGCGTATGCGGCTGTAATCCGCCGAGTCGTCCCGGCCGTCACAGCTGGTGCAGTTTCCCTACAAGAGGCAACCCTGAGAAAACCACCTGAGGAAATCATCGACACAGCCGGCCATTAGCGCCGGTTCACATCTGCGGTGCCTGACGGTGTTGCCTGATGTTACCATGGTCAGCGACTTGTAATCTGCGGCGTTTCCTAAAGACAGAATCTTCTTCTGTTCTGTTGACATGCCCAGTAGCATGCAGTAGAAGATGTGATAGTTTCGTTCCTCAGGTGCCTGCAACAAACAGAAAATTCCAGCGGTATCTCTTTAACAAACTCTCCATCCAGTGGTCTTCTAGCTGTTTATCTGGGGGCAAGGAGACCTTGAGTCTGTCCCAGGCAGCATATGGCTGATATAATTACATATACAATCTATATATCCACCATCCATCCATCCATGCTTTATATGCGTTTGTCCTGTGCAGGGTTGTGGAAGTTTGGAGCTACAAATGCAAGGCAGGGAACAACCCTATATCAGGGTCCAGTCCTAGACGGCCAGTCTGCAAACCAGTTTGCAGATTTCCCTGCTGCGACACACCTACTAAACCTGGCTGTCCGATTAAGATGAGTTTGGCAGTGAAATCTGCATTGTAATAATTAGAAATATATTTCCTTTATTTTTAGAGAAAGGCCTTTTCTGCAGAAATTAGCCACACCCCTTTCCCCAGAGGTCCCGGTGGTAGCTGTGCTCCCCCTGGTGGTCGTGGCCTACCTGGTGGCACACGCGGCACTTCTCTAGCAGATACTGCTCCACCCGAGCACCTTCGATGACCCCGGCCGCGTCGAAGTTTATGTCGATGTACTTCCCGAAGCGGCTGGAGTTGTCGTTGCGGATGGTTTTTGCGTTGCCGAAGGCTGCGGGAAAACGGGCATGGGCCGGGTCAGGGGGAGCCAGGGACATACGGCGAGCCAGGGGCTAACATCAGGTGGAGCGACGTTACCCTCCAGGATGGGGTTGGCCTCCAGGACCTGCTGCTCGATCCAGGAGTGCTGGCCGCTGACGGCAGCCAGGAACTGCAGGATCAGCTTGGTGCTCTCCGTCTTCCCCGCTCCAGACTCCCCACTGGCATGGAGAACGTCTTTGTAAACTGCGCTCACTCAGGCAAAATTAGCATAGTTTTTGTTTCACCATTCGAGGGGGGGGGAAATAAATAAATAAATGAATATTTTTGAGATTTTTCCAAGATCTGAGGCCTGTATCACGAAGCTGCATTTCCTGCTTAGCGGGATCCTTTTATCGGGTTTAAGGTAGTCTGGGCTAAATGTAAGTGAACGACAATAGTTTAAACTGACGCACCTTAAATCTGACAAGTTATCCAGCTAAGTTAGAAATCTGGCTTTTCAACACAGGCCCTGGATCTTTAGGCAAGCTGTCAGACGTGACGTCGTATACAAACCAGGGGAACAGACTAGGCACCGACAGATCCACTACAGATCATTCCATAATTTAACCAGCAACATTAATGACAGAACGAGCTCCCAGTACATGTATGTGTCATTATCTCTGGTTACGCATGTAGAAGTATGAAGAGTGCTGGTGTTTCCCAACCACAGTTGTGTGGGGGCCCCCAAGGTTTGTAAATATTAAATAAACGCATCCCTTATTTTAGGAGATGCTGAAGCAACAACGTTCTGCTAACCAGCTGGCCAGCTACGATCTTCTGACTCTACTCGCTAGCTAAACTTTTGATTGGCCCACGAGTGTCCCCTCCCCT